TGCCATCTAACATTTGCGGGCGGAAACTAAGTTAAGGTCCTAATACATTTTGAAATGCAGTATTGAATGTAATGTTGAGAAATATGGAGTATAGAGCACTTAAGCTTACAATTGGAGAATATTTTATCGAATAATTTACAATCATTTGGTCGTTTCGCTCGAGATCGGTATAAAAAAGTTTAATAAATTAATTAAGATTATAACCGCGGCACATATAATAAAGAAAAACGCAAGAATAGTGTCCACAAGTTTGCGCTGAATATCTCTGTAGCTGTGTAGTGTTCCATCGCTAGATGATAAAATTTCTTCTAAGTCGAAGAAGGAATTTGGAGTCGATCGGGGGTAGTCCATAGCTGTCGAATTATGTTCCCGTTCCATGTTTATCGACCCAATGCTGTCCTGGACGGTCATGATTGTCGGTATTAGCGACTATCGCCGTCGACCTCGTCCACACCTTCCGTACGCGGTCGGCTAGGTAGACTCTTGAGTGTCTAATATCGAGTTGTTAAATCGCTTGTAGAATTTCGAGCGAATTCATTTTGACAGGATAGAGGCGTATGTAAAGTATTTAGCTTGGATATGATCACCGTTATTTCGTCGTTTGTTCTATCTTCCGTTGTTTTCGCTCCTTCGACGGTTCCCTTTGCGGCTTCCTCCGGCGAAGGCTTTGTTGTTGTTTGGGGCGGGCAGAAATTATAGCAAAAATCTGCGCTATGGTCGGACGACTCCTCGCTCACTTCACTGATGCTGCTGAGCCTGTCCACCCCCTCTTTCTCCTCCTCCTCCTCCTTCTCCTCCTCTTCCTTCTTCACAACCTGCTCCCACTTCTTCAGCTCTTCGTTTTTCTCTCCGTACCGCTCTCGCGCGTTTAACCACTCGTTTAATTTAGTGGCGTTGTTTAACGCGCAATGAAAATCAGAGCCCCACACTGTCACCTGATAGCCGTGATATATGCACGTTATATCGCGCTCGCTCGATAGCAAACATTTGAAGGAGGGAGAGATTTCCTCGAAATTATATACCTCTCTCCCTAGTAAATTACGCAAATAATCCGTTTTCCCTTTGCCTCTGGAGTAAATACGTCGGGCGTTTCTGAATATTTTGCGCAAGTGCTGGAACAAATATTCCGGATCGGTTTCTCCGTCCCACAACTCGATCCCGTGATAATTTTTTGTAAGCCAGTAATTTTGCCGTCTTGTCTTCTCCTTCAATGTGCCAAACGGATATTGCGATCGTAAAATCCAGTGCCCTGTATATGCTGCGTGAACTGCGACAACGGCGACTTCTTTAGCCGTAAAGTTATCGTCGTTATCCCGAAAAGTCTGCACGACGATGACTAATTTCATATTCACCTATTTCCAACGTTCGCCGAGATCGTTCACTTTGCACAAGTTGCCGCGTTAAAGTCTCAAACAGAAATGTCTAATCTAGCCTCGGGTAGAGCTATTTTTTCAAAGAGTCGCAGACGCGTGACAAGAAGATGGTGGGGGTTTGTTTTCTAGCCAACATAATCTACAATGACTTGACGAGATGAGTCAATTTCTAATACACTGTCAAATTCTACGCAAACGATACAATTAATCGTCGCGACGAGGGCTCTGTCAAACCGTACTTCCAGCTGTAAAGCGCCGTGTCTCACGAGATTCCAATGTCCCACGCAATTGGCGGACAGATCAGGGGTAAGATCGAAATCGAAAAGAGTAAACTCGTTTAAGTATTCTTCTCTAGTTATTCCATTATCCTCGTTCAAAAAGTGGATTTTCGGTCCCCGAAAATAACATTTGATAAGTTTCGACGTAGAGCTATGCCGCGGGGGAAAAGTCGGGCTGTAACGGTCGACTAGGAATTTGTTTACCGTCGACATACATAGAGAAGAAATTTATGCCGAAATTGTCAAAATTAAACGGATTTAATTTTCTATCTCCGTTAAATGCTTTATTATCGACAAAGCCGACTATTATTCGCTTTGGTAATTGTCCAAGTATGACGTTATCCAGCGATTCGCCCACAAGTCCGCGATGAATCGTGAAAGATTTAACTTCGACTCTTGTGAGAGAGTACTTGGCGGTGTGTTTGCTTAGCATTCTCGCGTGCGCGAGCAATATTCCGGTACTTACTTTAACCCTTTTTACGAGTAAACTAGCTTCTAGAATATGTATTTTCGATGCGCTATTATTAGGACCTTAACTTAGTTTCCGCCCAAAAAATACTGAGAAAAAGCATTTATTGTTCTACATTCCTGTCCGTTATGCCCTAATTTACCACATTTGTAGCATTGCAAAGTTTTTTCATTGCGGGTGTATATAGGAGGTTTAATTTTTACGAAGGGTTTTCCACTAGGCCCTTGTACCTTTTCTTCTGCTGCTGCTGCTATTGCTTCATGCAATGAGTTATAATTTCGCGATCGTATTATTGTTCTGAGTTCATCGCGTAATCCTATTTGATAATTTTGTAGAGCTTGCA